AAATAAAAAATTTATATCTTTATGTTTGAAGCCTGAAATGTGGCAAAAGGTTGAAAAGTTCAAGGGGGCCGAATACTTTCGCAAGGCACTGTATGTCAGTGGCCTGAGGGCATAGGTTTCTACCCGACATCATCTGACCTCATAGGGTCTTTTTTTGCTCTCCTGCCATTCCACAGCATGTCTTTCTGACATCTGTGACAAGTTTTGATTGTTTTGTCATTTCAAAACCTTTGACGATGTGTCTAAGGGACTTATTCATAATGTAATCAAAACAAAACCCCCACTGGTCACACCATAATCTTATATGCACATGTGAAATACAGTAGGTTAATAACTTCTGTTTTTGAAAGGTTTCAGATTTGTTTTAAACTTTGTATCTGTTGTAATTGATAATACAATGGCAAATAAAATTGTGGTTCTACTGTTTATTGCCTAATATTGCAATTGTTATACATGTGTGTTGTACCAGTGATCTGGTTGTTGGGGTACTCATAGGTTTGGTCTATGTGCATTTGCTGTGCTGGTTTTACAATAACTCATATACTAATTTTTATTTATCTGTGGAATAGTTTGTCTTACTTATTGTTAAGTTACACCGTCAGACTTTACACTGCAATGTGGAAAAAATTACATACAGGACATTTTTCTCCAAATTAGGATTTTTTAAAGTGGTTTCTCACTTTTGCTTAAAGCGTTTACTCACAACTCGCAGTGGGGGTGTAATGTAACAGTGTGTAATGTAGTTTTAAAACGTCGGCTATGTGAATCGAGTATAAAAAAATTCACCTGAAGTCATATCCATAGATATACCAAAACACTATCATGTTACATGTTACAGCGTACATTATTCACTGTGCATTCTGAATGGCTAGATTTATAGCTCAATATTGATTATTACTGATCTTGAGAAATCAATTGCAATCCAAACATATGCTGATATCAATTTAATTAATCTTAGTAACATTATCCACTTATGAGTGTCTGAATGTTGTGTATGATTAATGAGTCCAATTAATAACTTAGTATAGACAATGGTATATTCAATGTAAAAGCCTTGTTTTTGTATCTCTTGATATCTGTTATAGATTTATAACCCTCACATAGCAAGATGCTGTTTGTATCCAGGCAAACTTTTATATATTAACTTTGAGTGCTTTTATGTACAAATTGTATATATTAATAAATGTATCCTGTGTGTTTTGAATCCACGTGAAAACTACTTATTATTCTGCTGATTGATTCCTAATAGCCAAAGTAGGTTCATGCAATTTACTGTTACAATTAAAATTGTGCCAGTAAATTCACACAAACATCTACACTGCCCTTAATGTGTGCCTAAAACACGTGCATAGTTCTTTATCAGCTTAGGCGAATGCTATGATTAAGTGTCAGATATCACACTTTAGTCCTGAAGCATAAAAATCGATAGTGAACTTGAACCCATAGCCTTAATACTTTATTCACCACCTTGATAATAACTTTCTTTTGCTATTAAAAAATATCAAATTAAGATAGAAAACTGTACCCTTTTGAGAGAAATGGAAAATTAAGAGTTGACCTGTAATTGTTAATCACATCACTGATATATTGTTTGGTTTTGACTTACTCTTTTAACTATGATATAAGAGCAGCAAGGTGAAGGTATAGATCACAGGTAAGTAACTCATTCATAATGTTGCTAATGAAATGGAAAATTTAGACTGAAATAAAAATGTGTGAATAGTTCAATGAAACATGTAGCATTTGCACTACGTATGTGAGCCAGAAAAGAAGGGCTTACATTAACAAATAAAAATAAAAAAATCTAGAGAAGACATAAAAAAGAATAAAGAAGAAAAACATTAAGCTTGTTTACATCAATTCATATTTTAAAGTATACATTTACCCAGGTATAGACACAAAAAAAGGTGAATGTTTATTACTAAAGATGTTATTGGAATGTATAAACTGATTTTTTTTTTTCAGATTTATGTTTATGTCAAATAATTCTGAACTGTGGTGTAATGAGTTAAATGCAACCACTGTGCTTTACTGTTCCAGATCTGACCTTCTGTTTCTTTTTGAATTCAGATTGATGCCTTAGCCTTTCTGTAATTTCATTAATGATTATTAAGAATGCCCTGGATGCATCAATCAATTTTGATGTTAAGAAATCCTGCAAAACTGACATTTCAAAATCAATGCTCTTGGTTTTCTTTTTACAGAAGAAAGAAAAGGCCTCCATCATTAAGAAAAACAATGCATATGCAGTGGCAGTAGCGAACTATGCACCAAATATTACAAAGGACTCTGTGCTACCCACAATATCCAAAAGTGCCACCTCAGATCCAAACAAGACCAAACCAGAAGCCAAACCAGTGGAAAACAAGAAGACATTCAACAGTGTAAGCAAAATTGATAGGATGTCACGAATAATGTTTCCTGTTCTATTTGGAAGTTTTAACCTAGTTTACTGGGCTACATATTTAAACAGGGAACCTGTCATAAAAGGTCTGGTACCGTCAAAGTAGATGTTCAAACACAATGTAAATTATTCTAAATATAGGACTGAAGACATGCCAAATACAACAAATAACTGCTAATCTATGTGCTTTGGTAAATTGGCCTAAGATAGCCAAGCTTTTTAAATTTTATTTAAGAATTTTTCCCCAATTTATTTCTGCAAAGCTCTTTGATTAACTTGTCATTAGGTTGTACTGTATATACATTGTTTCAGAATATTCATTTTTGATAATTTTTCTTCACACAGTATATTTGTGCTTCAGATGTTTTTAGTCATGTTATGAATCCCTGCTTTAAAAATATTTTTCTTCATTTTTGTGATATGAGACTAATAAAATCATTGATGATGTGTGCACTTCAATTTGTTCAGCTTGTTAGCATAAGCTCTTGTAGGCAGCAGTTGTATAGCTTAGTGTTGTCTTCAGTTAGTGTTTTTTAATGGACCAAAATACCTACAAGTGCTTAAATTTTGAAAGATGTTTCATAGCAAAATATTTTGTATTTAATTTTCTGTGATAATATTTATGAAAGCTTTGATTTTGTTTCCTACACAGGGTTTTATTGCTATGGAAAATTGGTACTCTGTTTTATTGCTAATCTAATCTTATGTTCTGTCATTATGTACATATACTGTCTTTGGTTAGTATTATTCCAAAATTATTTAATACATTACAATCAGTTACAGATTGTGCATTGGCTTGTTTTTTAAAGGAAAGTTGATTTATTATTATTATAATTATTATATTAATACACTGTATAAAAATCAAGCCCTTATTTGTATATTTTTATGTACTGAGAAGAATTATTATGTATATAACCCATAAATTATGGACTAAAGATTTTTTAAATTATTCACAAAAACATTTTCTTTTTAAATACATAACAACAATCTAGCATTGTAACACTTAGTATTTTGCATTATGAGTATGACTACTTCTTTTTAGTGGCCAAATATTAAATTGCAGGGAATAATTTTTAAGATTAAATGGCTGATTTGTGTTAAATAATACATTATTTAAATTGGAGAAATTGTAATAAATAATATCTAATTTAACTTAAAGTAATCTTTGAGGAATATGTTTGAATAAAATCATTGTATTTCTATATAATATATACTGCAATTCTTTGGAGCAGGTCATCATGTTGTACTGAAGAACATTTTAGATATATAAATTCAATGTTTATTTTTTATTAATTTTACATAAATTAGCAGTTGTTAGTTGATCTGAACATGGATAAATCTTTGTTATAAACATTTATATTGTAAGTAAATATGTAGTTTAGTGCACATTGTTACAGTAGTGTACAGTAATTATTCTAATATGTTCAGAGCTGTGGCACACATTAAATCTCAGTACACCGTATATATGTTTATTAAAATATTGGGAGGGTCTGACATGGAACTGGAGAAAGATTGATCAGATATTCTTTTGATGTTAAAACTCATTGTTTCATAAAGCAATTCCTTTATTATAATTCTTTAGTCCTTTGCATGGTGGTATTACTGTCAAAGTCACATTATAATTAAAAAAAAATAAACTTTTTAACACCTTTTTCTTGTTCAGCTCCCAATTAAAGTTGTCATTAAACCTGAAATGAATTTCTTCCTCCTACAGTCAAATTGTCAAACTGAAAGATGCACTTTAACAAAGTCTATTATTTCACTTGTTCTAGGCATTTTTTATTTTCCAATTACTTTAAAAAGAATTGTATGATAGTATAGTATGCAGAGTATGTTAAGCAATAAAACCCACTTGATATTACACATGATATATTGAAATGTAAGGAAGTGGAAGCTTTTTAATATGCCTAGGACATTTCCATGATGCCTTTTTTTCTAAATTAAGTTGCAAAGTATCTTGTAATAATCTGTGTTGTGAAGCAAACATATACTGATGCACAAAGTAAAATCAACTATGGTTTCCAATGCATTTAATTTAGTAATTTGTCCAAAGTCACAGAAAATGTGAACAAATTGTTTAAGTGAAAATATTAAAAGGTTAGTATCACATGTGACCTTAATGTGCATTACTTTAATCTTGGCAATGGTAATTCATAGACTTGGTAAATTTCTGGAGGGATTCTTTTGTTATTTTTTGCTATTTTTCCATCATGCACCATTGAAGTGGCAAAGCTGTTTCTTGTTTATGGTATTATCATATTGATATACTAGATTTTCTACTTGATTAAGGTCAGAAGAAGAAGCTTCCCATGGCAAAACCTTGATTGGTGTAATCAATCATAGTGTGATCTTATATTGTCTGGCTGGAAAATTGAAACTTCTGTATTGGCTCGCAAAAATTGAAAAACTGGTGTCTCAGGGATTTTGTCAATGTATTGCTGAGAAGTAAGGATGCCGTCAATCTACAACAAACATTTTGTTTTGTGTGTGTGTTAGAAGAGATTCCTCCCCACATCATAATACTTCCAAAATCTCATTTGTTAGCTTGAATAATGCAACAAAATGCTTAAAACACCCCACGACTCTCTCTGTTGCAGTTTCAGATGTTTTGTGAAATGAATATGATGATTTTATCTCTCACCAAATGACTCCCTAATATTTAAGTGGTGAGCTACTTAACCCTGCGAAGATTATTCCTTCCTGAAATTCCCCATACTGTACTCTTGGCAGTTTGAAAATTATTAGGCAGATGGCTAAGATAAATTAAATGTACCCTGATCGGTGTAGGTACCATGTACTTCTGCCTTTAAGGATATAGCCTTTTTCGCACAGAGCAGATGTCTCAGAAGCAGACTGATTATTATTTAAGCACATCTGATTATTATTCTCCATTAAAGTTTTCTCACAATCAAGCCATCTTCAAACAAAATGGTTTTAATGGTAGTTGGTCTGTTATCTCCCCATGGCTGATTTTGTAAGAAACCAAGATATCTTAATTACTCAAGTGGTGCATGGTTGTACCATTAATTGTTCTTGTTTATTTAAATTTCTTGAGTGTTTTTAAAGATTATTTACAGGGCTGATTTTTGTTCCGATTTCTAGAGGATGGGCTATTAAAGGCATAATTATTTTATTTTTCTGGGGTATACAAATTAATCAGTAAGGATGATCATTTTTATTATATTTAAGAGTTAGATTTTATTACTTCAAGGTAATAGCACTGTATATGAATCACTTAATTGCCAGAAACCTCAGCAACGTTTTATAAATATACTGTATCGACAAAATAGATAAATATTTTATTTGATTGAACTCAATGCTTGATTACAAAACAACATGTTCAACAAATGTTAATCCATAAACATAACACATGACTGAGAACATGATTTGCAGAATAAGGCTCCAAATTTTTCAGTCAATCGAAACTTTTCTTTGGCTAATGCTATTTGTAAGGATGTGATGGGTTACACTTGAAAGAGTATAAGGAAGCTTATTGCAAGAAACTAAAAATACATTTAAAAACACTAAGAAGGAATGGAAATGTAAGAATGGGAGGATAGAACCTGCAGGGTAGATATACAGGGAAACAAAAATAGTATACCGGAGAAAAACAAAAAACACTAAGGGATTAAATTATTATATCTAAATTAAGGATTAAATAAGAAAAATTAGGAGCTACTCCATTAGCAGTCAATTACAACACAATTGGAATTTGAATTATACATTCCAAGATATGCAGACTTCTGAGGAAACAGGAAATAGAAAAACATAAATAGAAGAGGTGGTGGTTTAGAACTAAACATCAAAAAGAGTATCCAGACAGAGGAATTTAACATATTCATGGATCTGATTTGACCTCTCAGATTCAAATTGTACTTATGGTGCAGTGAACAAAATAAAATATAATATATATTAAATATAATCAAATCAGTTATGTGCAAAGGAAGAAATGAACATCTTTGGATATTCTAATTTTCCTCACATTAACTAGGAAACAGCATCAAGGATCAAATCAGTAGTTAAAACTACAATTGGCAACCCACTGAAGCTAAACTGGTGTGAGTCTGGTTAGTGCCTGGATGAGAGACCAGAGAGCTACTTGAAGAGGTATTAGAGGGGCCTATAGGGGGTCCTAATGCCCTAGTATAGTGACGGTGCTGTCCTTCGGATGAGACATTCAACCAAGGTCCTGATTCTTTGTAGTCATTAAAAATCCCAGGGCATTTCTTGAAAAGAGTAGAGGTGTAACCCCAGCGTCCTTGCCAAATTTCCCATTGGCCCTTACCAATCCTGGCCTCCTAATAATCCCCGTTTAGGAATTGGCTTCATTACGCTGTTCGCCTCCACACAGCTGATGTGTGGTGAGCATTCTGGCACACTATGGCTGCCATTGCATAATCCAGGTGGATGCTGTACACTGGTGTTGGTGGAGGGGGGTCTCCATTACCTGTAAAGTACTTTGAGTGGAGTGTCCAGAAAAGCACCATATAAGTGTTACCAATTATTGTTTTTATTATTAAATAGGTGTGAGGGAGGAAAACGAAGGTGAGAGAAACATTAGGTAGCTTTAATCATAACATTTAAAAAATGCATTTTAAACTATATGCATCAGTTACTGTAAAAAAAACAAAGGTCAATTTCAGGAAAGCTGACTATGATTAATTGATTCAGAGCTTAAGTGAAAAAGAATGGTATAGAACAGACGTGAAATCAGTTGAGAATGAAGCACAGAACAGTTTCATCCAAGAACTAGGCGGACCCAAGTTTAGAAAGCAGTAGTCCAAATGGCTTAATAAATATTTTATGAATATAAGGATAAAGAAAGCAATTTTTAAAATGATTGGGAATCATCTAGTTTAAAAGGAGATTAATGAAGGGCAATTCATTGAGATGTGAGAAAGGATATTAAAAAGCTAACAGAGTCAGAGAAATAAAGATTGCAATGGAAGACTCAAGTAACTTTTTTTAATACAATAGCAGCTAAAGAACAGCAAATAATTAAATTAAATGTCTCAGTGCTGAAGATAGGAAAAAATGATAGTGAGAAGTATTAAATGAATATTTTACTCAAGTGTTCATAAAAGATTAAATTAATCATAGGCCTTTACTTACAATATGTGAAAAATCAAAAGTCAGTATTTAATTTACTTAAGGAAACAAGAGCTGATACTTATGGGTCTAAATAAATTGCAGATATATTGTTAGAGAGGGATAATACCCATTGACCACAAATTGCTAATGTTGCACCCAGACTAAGGGTAAGCTTTGTTTAACTGACATACTTTTTTTAACAAGATATAGCAGTTATAGATATAAATAAACAAAATTAAATTTTTAGAACTTTTAATAAAGTTCCATATAAAAGAGTAATTCACAAACTGTATTATATATGTATCTATTACTATACATGGGTCATAAATAGCAAAAATATAAATTTTAGGCAGAAACACCATAAACTATAAATATCTAATGTGGCTTAGTGAGATTGAAAAATTTACCTTGATTAAAAATATATGTTTATTAGGGTGCAACTTTTTTTTTAATGTTCTGAACAATGATTTTGTCTACTAATGAGATATATATAGGAATCAAAGGAACAAGTAATTGGTTTATTCCGTGCTGAAAAGAGAAGAAAGAAAACACAATGTTTTGGCTGTGGAGCCTTCTTCAGGTGTACGGTTTCTTTCTTTCAGCATGGAATAAACCCATTACCTGTCCCTTTGCAGCCTACGCATGCTGATGCAACTACCCACCTGAACTATATATAGGAATGCCCCATGCTCTGTCATACACTGGCAGGCAACAAGAACTAAATCTTTTTTAATCTTGAAAATTTAAAACTGTAACGTTTTTTGATTCAAATATTAAAACCCTCAGAAACATTTATAAAGTTAAATCTATGGACCTCTTCAGAAACAATAGTGTAGTACTACCCAAAGAACACAAATAAAAACTAAGGGGAAGTGTACTTAGGAATGAGAACTGCGGACATGTATTTACACAAAGGGTTGTGAGAGCCTGGAACAAACTACCCAGAGCCATTGTATTGAAGCCAGTACCTCTGTTTCCTTCAAGAAACACCTTAACAGCTAAATGAGATCTTCAGATACAATTTACTACTAAAAACCAAATGCATCTGAGTGGTGAATGGACTACCCTCATTTAAAAAAATGCACTTCTTATATTTCTTGTCACCTGAAGTTCCAAACCTAGTTGAAAATGTGCTGTGATTATAGAAGCTGTAATTTATATTGACTCTGTACTCTGAAGTTGTCTTAAATACCTGTTTTAAATACATTTGAGCTATTTATGAAATACATTTACCTGTATATAATACATATTAAGATATTTGAACATTTCAAATAATTCTTATTTTGTTCATATTTTGCAAAACTACAGATTGGGTTTAGTAGACTTTTTCATGTTTTGATCCATTATTCACTGATAAACAACCACTGTATTTTCTTCAATCTTCTTCTGAATGTACACTTCCCCTTCAGTGTTTGAGTGTCACATATTCTTCATTACTGCTCATTTATTAGCTTGAAGTTTGCAGTATTTGGAGAGATATAAAGATTGGTATATTGTACATTGTAAATTAAAGTTTGTTCTCAATTAATTATCTTGGTTATGTAAGGCAGCAATATAAAAAGAAATTGGGTCGAGTATATGTGAAATCAATGTATGCCCAACTGTCTGGCATCCTATGCAGCTGCCTATTTTTGTACACCTCATTGGAGCATTTGATACAAATAATAAAGGTAACCCTGAGAGGTGATAAATTAAATGGTAGTTTTGGGGATAAAGAAAGAACACCTTGTGAAATCCTTCATATACCGGCCATTTATACAGATCCCAGTTTGCCAATCTTAACTCGATTTTCATCACTAACACTATAAGCACGTAATATTTCCATAAAATTGCTATATTTGGTACCAGTTCATTATTACTCCAAAGAACTATACTCCTAAATTAATTCAGAAACCTACATGCTCAGTATTCAATGTAAATTACTTTGTGTGCCCAATGAGAAATTTATATAATGACTATTGCATTTTCATTGTGCATCAGTGTATATAGTATATGGATGTCCTTTTAAACATTGGTTTATTTCTTAGCAATCTTTTGCCTTGTGATGATTCATGTGCTTTTCTGTTAAAGGTTATATGAAGACATGCAAAATAAAAGGGCAGGGTAAATGATCATACCTGCTTGCAACCTAATTTTGTTCATACCACTATGCTGTTTTCTGCTCATTGTTTATTTGTACAAGCAAAGTTTGGAGAGCAAAAAAATAATTTTATTTTGCTTTAAAATATAAAAACAATTTAGATTTTGACTATTTATTTCCTTGAGAAAAAAATGTTCTCTTAGGCACTGCACAGCCTAAAATAGAGTTTTACACAATGCTTATGTATTTTTTATTCATATACATGTATTAGTAGTAACCTATGAAAAGTGTTTATTTTCATGTATGCAGGTACTGTATATAAAATGATTCCACCTGATATTATATTCCTACTTCACCAGGCTCTCATTTATAGGCATTGGAATTTGGTTTAATTCATTGAGGGCTTGAGTTTAAATGGCTAAACATTTTTAACTTAATAAATGTATAAACAGAATTTTGCATTAGCTTTGTTCTGACCACACAATATAATCAACCTGCTTATGCAATGGTAAGGATGGTAAATACAAATTAATAAGAACTTACAGTACTTTAAATTAATTCACATTTACTTAAATTGAAGAAATTTGTTTACAATGCAATTCCAGGGCAAGAATCATGATTTTTAATTATAATATTTGTCAGCTACTTGCGTATCTTTTACAGAAAGAAGCAAGTACCCTCAAGATTTGATCCTTGATAGCAAGAAGGAATATATATATAATATATATATATTATGTTTTGTGTAATTCAACACATTATTCTGATTGATCTGCTTGGATAATATACATGTATGTAATTATGATATTAGCAGATGCACTGATTGGTAAACTTGAGCCTTGTTTGAAATATTATCCGAGTATGAACAATTCACTTTCATCTCAATAACAATTCATGCTGTGTCAAAAGATATTATCATTTTGAAATACATATTAAAATATTAAAAGCTAATTATTTTCATTGTCCCAATTTACTAATGCATGAAAAATAATGAAACAAATGTTTGCACAAAGCACAAAAGTAAAAGTGACTTGTCATTTCCTAATTGACAAAATAGTATGATATATTTATCTGAATATCTTTCTATGTCTGCTGTTCAGTTTCATACGCATCCAGTATGACTACAAAGTGCTTTAATTTGGCCCCAGTGTGTATGAAAACATGAGGAAGCATGTCACTTTTAATGACAAATGAAACAAAGGTCTGAGTTGTATATGATTTTCCAATAGCTGTTAAGTTTTCATTTTTGTTCTGAATTGATAGGTGTTCTCTTTATTCTCAGGGTGAATCCAGTAATGCAGGGTTTTTGAATTTTGTACAATCAGCATTCTATATGATATATACCTTATCAAATGCCTATACTTTACAAGCATTAATTACAAAGACGTGCATGTGGTTTTTAAGAATATGGATGTTTACATTACATATTTGTGTCCTTAACTTCCATGCTATCAAGAGAGAATAATGTTTTTAAAGTACATGGAACAAAAAAAAAAACATAATCATATATTAGAAAATGAATGAAATCCACAAATCATTGCATTATCAAATCAGTCCAGTAACTGCAGACTTTTGGCACAGGTTGCCATAGCTTCCATATTATCTACAGTATGATAATAGGTATTTTAGCCTCATGTTATAGCACATAAAAATATTAAATATTTCCTCTTGCATATTTATTGTTCTACTATTACTTAATTGGAGGGAATTACACTGAAGTCATTCTTTAGAACTGTTATTTCATTAAAGATGTAACAAAAGAGCTTCACACCATTAGTTTTCAAGGACATTGCATAATTCTTCAGCAGGCTCCATTGACTTTTTTTGAGTATCGGAGAAGTTTCATGTTTCTGCTACAAACTACCTGGTATACAATTCAGGTCTTTACCCATTTTACATATGTACAAATGCTAATCCACCACGTGGAGGTTGATGCATCCCGCTATACAGCTCCTCAACATGTCAAGATTCTAGAGATCCATGAAAAAGACGTG